CTGCATATTTGTAGGCATGTTTTTATTTTCCTTTTTTCCCCAACTAAACATCTGATGTTTTTATAGATATAGATTAGAGAAGAAAATGAACATACTTGCCTACAGTTAACTTGCCTATACTAACACAGGTGTACAAACAATTTTCTGAAAGCTTGGTGACAAACTGCAGACAAACAGCATTCTCTGACACTCCTTAAAATCTTTTTGAAGTCACCAACATAGTTCCTTGTTCATGATACGGTTTCTTTGTGTACCCAAAGGCTGAACTGTCTACCTGTTTGGGCAGTAAAGGTTTAACCCAGGATAAAGCCTTCAAAAGACATTCTTCTTTCTCAGTACTTGAATGAGTACATCTGAAGACTAACACAAATACAGCTTGGGTTTGCAGTTCTATCTAGTCACTACCTTAGCTACTTGGTCTGTTCCTCTCATGATAGGTTTGAGGAACAGAAGAAAAGAACTGCCCTAAGCTTCCTCATAAATAAGGAATGCTTAAATTTAGGATATTGCCATGTTTACGCTGTACCTTTGTCGTGTTTTAGGATCAGCTCAACTACTTCCAAGGAACAGAACATGGGGCTTTCATGGGGTGTAGTTGTGTAATTGACTAATATCACTTAATACATTTTTTTTTTATTTTTGTATATTGCAAGGCACCAGTCATCATATGTTCACAAATGATGCTACAATCTGATTTATATTGCAGCTCCATGAACTGTTTTAGTCACTGAGAGTAAAAAGTATTCAAGAAAAATTAAACTGTTTATAATACATACTGAAGGGTATGGAATTAGCTTTTTAAAACATTTATATAGGTGGATTCTGAAACTTTCCAGTCTTCTCTGTTTTCTGTAGTGCTGAGCTACCACTGCAAGTACTTTATATGCAAACAATCACACTAGTAAGCCTTATTATACTGCTTGCTAACACAGGCATTTGTTTGGCATTGTTACTGCATGTTATCAGTTCAGCATTTAATTATGCTGTAGTAGTAAAATAAAGTTGGTTCACATGAGACACCATCAAGGGCTTATTTTGGCTAAGCTAACTCAAAAAAAAACCTCTTTGCATTGGGCATCAGCATCTATGGACATTTAGGGGTATTGGAGTAGCATAGATAGGTCTTACTGATGTAGGAGAAAATTGTGTGTAATTGTTGTAAAGGAAATACATACTATGACAGCAATGTGATCTGTGACTTAATTTTGATGGTAAATGATCTGCATTTTTTAATATTCCTCTAAATAGCATTTACTACATGCTACAAAATGTATATTCATCATCTTGAGTTTTAATTTAAAATATTAAGTGGTTCTGAAAGGGAAAAAATGGAATAGTGTAGATTCAAAGCAAGAACAGTAGCGGTGTTATGAGAAAATGCAGCATTTATACAGTAAGAGTCATATTGCTTAGAACGTTTAAGATCACTTTTTTTAGAGTTTGAATGACAGAACAGAAAATCTGTGTATATTTACAAGCTATACTGTGAATTACATAGGTTAATATACTATACTATATATTACTAGTTTACTAGTAATACGTTACTGTCCTATACTATATGCTAGTAGGTTACAATGTCATGAATTTTCAACAAATGTATAAGGATTCCCAAGTTTGGTTCTTTGGTTTTTTTCCCTTCCCTCCCTCCCCCAGTAGGTGACTTCAGAAGTCTCACGAGCATGGATTATCTTGCAGAATTCCCAGAGGAACTTTCTTTTACAGTTGATTTTGCCACTTTTGTTGGCATTCAGTCCATTGTCACTTACTAGTGGAGAAAAGCACACATCCAACCTTCAATCCACATCTCAATCATCTGATTATCTTCAAAAAGTGAAGAGTTCTTGAGGATTTTTCTCCAGGTTTATATTGTACTAAGGCGATGAAGCACCACTGGAAATCCACTGAATCCATGCTCCAGTGTTAGTCTCTCAAAATAATTTCCACATGGATTAATTATAAGATCAGGATGGGCTGCTGAGTGAATCTGTGAATCTTCTCAACTGGCATTAGGTTTGTATGTCATAAATAAATGCATATCACAGCATATGTTTAATTCATATCATACTGGATCCGCTCTTTCTCAGGCTTTCTACAGGGGAGCTATTCCTTCAGTGACTTCAGTAATGTAATGCTTCTACTTAATATTTTTACTTGTTTGATAGAAGCATAATAGAGATGAATGGAACACATATGGAAATCAACTTCCCATTCTCCCTTTTTTCACTGCAGAGCTTTATGGCCTGTACAGGTCTCTCCTTATCTTCCTGTTCTTTGTTGAGATGGTGGAGGTACATCAACAAGTTAATCTCTGTGTTAGCCTAAACTTCAGTTTTGTTAAAAATTTGGTCCTCAAATGGCCTTAGAAATTGAGCTTTCTTCTTAGGAAACAGCTCTACTTGTATGCCTTCTCTTAAATCTTGCAGCACTTAGTTGCTGCTGTTGTGGAGCTATATGAACTGCCTGAGTGTAAGAAAAGTAAAATAATTATTTTAAAAATTCTAGCTAGATAGTTCAAACTGAATTAATTTGGGTTTGTTACCTGTTGGTTTTGAATTGGGTTTTCTCAGATGTCATTTTATTTTAGCTGTTATTTTGCCTTGTATTATACTGTTTGCACGATATGGCAGTGAGATTTTCCAGAATAGCACTGTCCTCAGCTTCTCTCCCTCACTGTTCCAGGACCTGGCTGCAAGCACTGTCTCTGGGAGTTCTATTGCTGGGTAGTTTGATTACACACAATGTGAGTCATCTCTTCTCCATCGTACAGTTGTGTGTAACAGAACTTGAATAAATAGTTACACATGTGGATGAAATAAGTTAGTTTATACAAAATTTTGTTTGCTGTTAGGCTTCAGGTTTAATCTTCTAATTCTGCAATATGACTGTCTTTGGAGACTGTAAAATGTCGTACATACTTTTCGGTGACTGACAAAATATTCAGTGTATGGCTGTATCCTAGGTAGGAAAAGAATATACAACAACTGTCTTGCTAAGATGCTTCTTAACTTTACAGACACATTGTAAAACACGTTTACTAGTGCATGTACCCTGTCCAGGTATTTATGCATTGAAGTTTTAAATTTTTCAAAATTCTATGGCAGAAATAAAATTTATATTGAATTGTTCTCGCTCATTTTGGGGCGGGGGAGAAGCTTAAGATATCACTTAGATTTAGTTGTGTTTCTGTCTTACTTGTCTTTGCCACAGTGTCATAATACTGTTCAGGAATAATGTTGAGTTTTTAAGCATTAAGCTTTCTTTTTCAGAAAGCAGAAAAAAAAGCATAATCTTTCCAAATAATTCATTCTTTAACCTTTCTCAATAATAGACTTGGTTTTCAAATTTTTATTTTAGGTTATCAACTCTTTTCTTATCCCTGGCATTAAAATGATGTTTCTGATAAGACTCAGCCCTTGAGTGTGTTGAAAAATGGAATGTGTTGAAAAATTCCCCATCACCTTCCACAGGACAGACTTATGTTCATGGTCATCACTAATCTCTGGTGTACTTGGCTTCCTCCTTATTAACTACTCTTAATATTTGTTGCAGTGCTTCACTTCACAACTTTTAACTCACTCCAGACTTAAAAATAACCTTACAGATCTCAAAGAGAAAAAGAAGACATGCATAGATGAGCTTTTGCTGTAAGGTTTCCCATTTTGTTTTGATTGTCCTCCACATCAATGAGATTTGTTTGGCTAGATTCTATACAAAATAGATGGTTACTGAAAACCACAATTAGTGTTCTTACTAACTAAAGTTGACACTTGGACTTCAACTTGCCTATAAAATAGACTGATATGGTGCTGCTTTTGGTGAGGAGTGAGTTAGCTGACCATAATTTTAGACTGAATGACACACTGCCTACATCGTACCTTAGCCATACCACCACGTACTACTGATCCATCTCTATTAGTTTGTTGTCTAACTAGTAGCCTTTTAACTGTATCCTTTTAAAGTAACATTGAATATGAGTTTGCTTCTGAGAACTGAAGTACAGTTTTGAACTGTAATGTGTTGAACAGTTAAGAAGCAGGAGCAGTAATACCATTTCTCTACTGTCACCTGAAATCAAGTGTATCTATTCATAAACTCAACACATTGTTATATGTCCTGTTAAACTGTAGTAAGCTAACTACTTGCACTATCTCTAGAGTTAGAAGGAAATTTCACAGCTGCCTATGTACTTGCTGGGTGGAAAAACCCAAAAGAGAACAGGATAGAAACTTGACTGTGTCTGCTGGAGGACATTATGATTGATTGTATTATCATAGCAATTAGGACATTTCTCATGGAGCAGGATGCCTTTATACAAGGTAACATCCTGTGTTTGTACATCCCTGCCAAAGCTGTGCATCTCCCACCTACAGGAAGAAAAGGGTCACACATGAAATAAACAGTTAGTTACAGTTTTCTTATTCTGTGTCTTAAACCACATTACAGTATTTTCTATGTTGGTCTAAGTTGAATCAGTGAGCAGTGCCCCTTACAGAAAATATACATATCTTATAAAGATAGCTGGTGTGTGATACACTTTGAAGTTAATAGGATTTGGAGAGAGAGGCAACAACTCCACACTTGAAGAAAATATGTACTATGAACTATTCAGTAAGAAATTATGGATAATGTCTACCTTACTTTGCCTGGGTGGTAAGAACCAAGCATACTAAGATAAAATAATTTGCCTCAATGCAATGATTCCTTGGCTTTTAAAAATTTATTAAACCTTTGGACTAAAATGATTAAAACTCTTGGTCTGATGTAGCCATTTCTGTAACAAAGCACCAATGTTTTGCTACTGAAGCAAACCATTTTCTTATTACTCTCTTATTTCTAATGACTAGGATTTAAAATCTGTTAGCACTCGGGCTGCTCTGAAATCAGTTTGATTTAACAAAAATGGAAAGTTTTTACATAGAAAATACCTCCAAGTTGACAACAATAATAGCTGGGAGTGCCAACTTGAGCAAAGCAATCAAGTCCTGTTTTAATTTTTTCAGAGTTTCTTGGAAGCAGAAGACAAAGACCATCTCTTCCCCTGTGCTCAGCAGGCACAGTACTTATCAAGACGGCTGTCTCCTTACAGCGAGCATGGCTTGGTTTGCTCCAGTCCAGTAAAATATGCCAGAAAAGGTTCTCGGAATACATCTAGTGCATCTAACTCAAACTCAAGTGTCCGTACATCAAGTACACCAAGAAAACACTCTGGACTTTCATGCAGTTGCTCCACTGATAGTTTTGTGAGCATTAGTCATTCCCAGAGGCATCAAGGAAGCAACTCCAAAGTATGCAGTGGGGATCTTTTAGACAGGCACTCCGAATTCTTTACTGATAGCCGAAAACCTTTTACTCCACGCACCTTAATATCAGATGCTAAATCTTTCCTGTCAGAGTACAGGTATTACACTCCTGCTCGAAGGAAAAGGAAAAATCCCTGCAAGCAGCATGTGGAAGCTCAAACGCAGACTGATGCGATCAGGTACAGAGATTAAAACTTTATTTTGAAACTGTGGAATTTAGATGTTATCATAGCAGTATCTTCATAAAAGCAACATGATTTATTTACATTTGTATAAACCAGAATAATTATTCTGAAATTATTCTAGATGCACCTTAGCAAAAGCTAGAACAGAATGTATTTTCCTTTTTTCATTGGCATATTTTGTTGTCTTCTCTCTGGAGCAACTGGTTTCATCTATACAAATTGGGTACAAAGTGCCACTAAATCCAAACTGTGGGATCTCACATCTGCTGGGGATAGTCGTTCCCTCTCTTTTCTTTGCTCTCTCTGGTGTTTAGTTGTGTTTTCTGTCTTCTAAAGAATTAACCACTATAAGCTTGCAGATAGTCCCGCACTGTTGTCCCGGTAATCTCATACTTTGCAATTCATCATGCAAAGATCCTTTTTTTAAAAAAAAAAACTCTTGAATGCAGCTTTTCATTGTCTTTTTAGCATTTTAATTTCAGTGCCTTTAGATGTTTCCTATATGAAGTATTTTGTACAAAATTAATGTACTCTTGCATTGAACTCCTTCTTAACAAATTAAACAGTTTTGATTTAGTTTTGTTTTTACTGATACTACCTCATAAAGAGAAATCTTTTCTCTTTTGTGTCCTCGGTGCCTGCATGTCTAGCTCTGGTTTTGTCCTAGAACAAAGTAGGAATCTCATAAGACTGGAATTATGATAGTTTCAGCTCCATATTGCACCTATTGATTTTCTGGCTGTGGGTCATGTGTTTTCCTGGTGCATTTTTAATATATAGGGTATTTCAATTCTCAATTCTGAACAGTTATTTTGGATAATTTAGCAATCCCCTGTAAATATGCAGGCAAATAATGGATTTGGATTACCTATGTATGACTGTTGTTATCCTTCAAAATGAACTATAACTTAGTTTTATTATGCGAATGGAAGTCCAGCAGAAATTTTCTGAACTGTCTGAGACATTTTAGTACTAGGTCCCATTCAGATTGATGGGAAATTTCCACAGTGGCGCTGGTATTCTCATTCTGCATATTTCGAAAGTAGCCTTCTTGGAAATCTAATACATTTCTAAATTTTGTAGCTTTCCATCTGCAGACAAAGTGTCTGAGAGAAAAGTTATGACTGAACAGCAGAAGATCACATTGAAGGTAATACATCTATCAGTCATCTGGGTACTCTTACCACACCCTTCACCATCATTTGGGGGTGTATATTTCATCTCTGCCACAGCAGTATATAACTGGTTTAAGTTTTCTTCTCTATACTGTCATGATATGAATTAGTTCTGTAGAGGAGAGAGAGTTTCAGAAGAACAAATGGAAACAGTAAGAAAAAATACTGAGGCACGTGAAGAGATCTTAGGATATTACAAAATGTTAATTTTTTTTTTTCAACAGTTTGTACAAGTGCCCTATCACTTAAATATCTGTTAAGGACGTAGATAATGGGTACATTATTTTTCAGCAGAAGAAGATACCTCTTTTTCAGAGATTTTTTTTTTCTTCATTTTTACGTTGGATAACATATTCTAAAAAGCCCTTGACAGAAGAATTGGAACCAAGGAGTCCCTTCCTCTGTGGGAGCTCCCAAACCAGCGGGTGGTGAAGTTTTCCTTGATACTGTTTGCTTTCTGTCTTGCTGAATGTATGTGGAATGCTTTGATGAAAAATCACAGCACTTCAAATTCTACTAGCAACTAGTATTTTTTGTCATAGTCACAGAAATGTTTGCATCCATCATTTTGATTTGAATTGCTAAGTGTTTGGGACAGGTGAATGTAGTTTTTCAGTTATTTGGTCTTTCAGAAATCGCCTTGGTGTGTGGTGGTTTAAGATTATTAAATTTAAGAGATGAAATGGAATACCAGCATCTTTGGGAGGCAGAGGGAAGCAGGCAAAAGACCTGAAATGTTTCTTAAGACTTCAAATCTGAAGTTATTTTGTCTTAATTTGTACTAGTATTTGGATGGAAGAATTTGATGAGAAGTTGGGTTCTTACTTTGCACTTTATCTTGTAGCCATTATACAGACAAATCCTTAAACAAACAACCCTGTCAAACATAACAGAAGTACTTGAATAACTGTGGACTTTCTTCCTGAATAAAGGCTACAGGGTCAGACTCTTCATGTCTCTAGCTTAATAAGGCAAATAATTCTGCTTTATTCATTGGAGGAGAAGGGTGGGAGAGAATATGTATTTATAGCTTTACTGAAAATAGAAGAGAGACCACCTGAATTGATCTGCATCTGCAGATGACCTCATTAAGAAAAGCTGAAATGATTATTCAGAAGGCTTCACTCCAGTTCCATGAAGAACTACTGATTTCATTTCAAAACTGTCATATCTGACTTTTTCTTTGGCTGTTGCAAAAGTGACAACAGTAAGTCACGTATCTTTACAGTGGCCCTTTCAGAGTATTATCATATAAAATGCAGGTAGTCAGCAACTTTCCATCAGTTTTGTGTAAGCAGCTCAAGAGATGTGATTTGGAGTGCTGGTTCCTGTTTTTGCATACCAAATTTTATTCCTGTTGGTGACATCAACTCCCTCTGGCTTTTAGAGAACTCATCTATGACATACTTGTCTGGAGAGAAATGTTCCACATCTCCTGTTGCCCCTGACTAAAATTTTGGATGTCAAAGCTGATGACCCTTGGTTGCCATATGTCTCAGTTTACCCAAAGTTTCTCAGAAAAGACATAAAATTTGTAGGACTGCTTAATCACAGATCGTTACTATGTTCATTTTAATGGTAAAATATGCTGTGTATTTGCACTGATAATAAAGATTTTTATCTCTGTGTTGTAGGCTGAAGATAGAAGATACAGCGTGGGTGAGCCTGAGAGAGGAATAGCTGCTTTTCCATACTCCTTCCTAAGGTACCTGATTTACAGCAGGAAGGAATATTTGAAGCATTTCTTCTTGCTTTCTGTACAGCTGCTTCTTAGGCCATAAGCCTTCACTACCATATCTCTTGACAAGTCTCTTCTCACAGGACTTCTGTTTGGTTGGGTTTTTTACATCAGTGGCCTTTCCTAACTTCAAAATTGATTATTTTCTTATCATAAAATTCCACTGGGAAGCCAATTAAGCAAGAGAGCTCTGAAATATATGAGTATTTTTGTCAGGAGTGAGAACGATCACACATTAATACAGCTGTTAATTCTGTACATCCGAGTATACATCTGAGCCTACAGAGTATATATTTCTTATACAGTACTACAATTAAATACTGGATTAGTATTCCAATTGGTATTTCCTTTCAGGAAAAAGGGTCTCCAGACATCTAGCCTTTTGAATCTATGATCTGCAAGAATTCCAGACCAGGGGCATTTCCCACACCTTTTTCTGAAAATATAACACTGAGATTTAGAATATTATCTACAATATAAGAACAGTGTTGGAAATCAGGCCAGAACCCAAGGGCTCCCAGCTGATTCTCCTCATTGCTGACCTCAGTATCATGCATGACTCACTGATTTGCTCTCCTGCCTTTTCATACAAAGGCATTTTTACCTGAGGAAGAAAATTCTACTCCGAGTAAAAAAAGCACTCTTAGGGATAGTGGAGGTCTGTATAGCATCTGAAGCAACACTGAGGCGTTTTGAGGTATTAGAGCACTGCATCTAGTGAGGTGTTATAATACTCTTGACCCATAATCTTTCAGGCTTCAGTGCAAGCAGTGGATTTTGCTACTGGAGCAGGGTTTGGGGGTGTTCTGGTGGGTGTTTTTCCAAGAGGAAGTGGGATAATGGCACAGCATGGTTCCAGAAGAAAGTGAGATGCAGGGTAGTATAACAGGTTTTTAAAATGTTGCTGTTTCTTACCCTCCGATTTTCTGGTTAGAGAGACATCGTTGTATTCTCAGCAGTCTTCAGCAAGGAGGAGTATCAAGGCTGAGTAAGTATGCTTAAACCATTTTTCTGCTAGTTTGCAACATTAAACTAGAAACTATTCCTCAAAACTGATGAACTTGAAACAGTAAATGAGGACTCAGAATAAACTGTTGTTCACAATTTACAGTAGAATTGACATGACTATGAATTGTTATATAATACTTAAGTTTCCATGTGAATCTAAAAATGAAGAAAATTCATTATAACTTCAGAAGACAGACAGACTTCTCTTCTTGTCCAGTGGCTATACTTTAAACACTTCCAGTTATTTTTTGGTCTGTAATCTCTGAAG